AGGCCAGAGCGGCACTTTTTTCTGCCACATTCGTTCATTTCGTGCAAAAACGCGTCGAATAAGCCTAATTTCATCAAAATCGGAGGTGAGACGGGTATTCTATACCTTTACCTAAATTTTTATTTGTGCGCAAAAATGCTTGTAGGCAATCGAGCTGTAGGCAATAATGCATGTAGGCAATAGTACATGTAGGCAATCGAGCTGTAGGCAATAATGCATGTAGGCAATAGTACATGTAGGCAATCGAGCTGTAGGCAATAGTACGTGTAGGCAATCGAGCTGTAGGCAATAATGCATGTAGGCAAAAGTAATTCTGTTTCTAAAATTTTTATTTGTGCGCAAAAGTGCTTGTAGGCAATCGAGCTGTAGGCAATAATGCATGTAGGCAAAAGTACATGTAGGCAATAGTACATGTAGGCAATCGAACTGTAGGCAATAATACATGTAGGCAATCGATCTGTAGGCAACAGAACATGTAGGCAATCGATTTGTAGGCAAATGGGATGTAGGCAAACGGTACTGTAGGCAATCGATTTGTAGGCAAAAGCAACCCTCTCTGTCCACTTATTCTTTTATATAAAATTTTGATTATATCTTTCACTCTTTCTCTTATTTTGTTCTCTTGCTAAAAATGAATATATTTGTGAATTATTGCACTTTATCTCACATAATAATCATTCAAATAATAATTAATAATAATCGTAAACTATAAACTATAACTGGACTAGAATGAAGCAAATCGATCTTTTAATTACTATCCTTCAAGGACTGATTTGGTTTCGCTCTATGAGCGTTATCGATCAATTCTTTCTCATTCGAATGTCCATCGAAAGTATGACAAAAATCGATGGTCACATGATCGGATCTCTTATTATCGAAATTTATAACCGAGAATGTCTTGTCGCATTTGATAGGGTTGATACAGTATATTTTACCATTACTTGTTTCTGCCGTGTCGTTGATGTATTCTGCATCGTTTTCTTTAGCTGTTTTCGTAAAATCGTGGATGGCTACGTCACAGCCATGTTCTCTCGGGTTATCGTTAACGCGTGTAGTTGAAGATTCCTTTGGCTGGCAAATATCTTTGCCGGATGCCGCAGAATTGTTAGTCTTTAAGCCTTTCGACAAATTTTGTTTACGTCCAGAAAGTAGAATCCTGTCGATAGTCATGAAGGGCATTTCAAAGCAGAGGCTCCACAACACAGATATTATCATCGTGAACATTAAATTGGCGAAGAATGCGCGCATCTGATAAACAAGAAATTTTATTTACTGCTTGTCTTTTCTTAAATTATATTTGTGCTTTAATTTAATTATGGTTCATACAATATCGCGAACGTAAAATGAGCAGAGGTTAATGTAATTAATATGTTAAGCATATGTGTTTATATAAAATCTACTTAAAATCAAATGCAGCAATGCAATACCCGGTAAAAGATTTTTCATGCATGAACATATATAATTATATATGAAATATGTCCATACATATTTATACATCCTTTTTTCTTTTGTAAAATTACTTTTTAGTTTAATAAAAATAATGAGAAAACATCGAAAATAATTAAAAAAATAAGTATTTTTCGCATTGTTTGTTTTAGAAAAAATCAAGTTAAGTGAAATGTAAAAAAAATTGTTCATACATAACTATGTGTAATTATATATACAATTGTATACGAGCAATTCTTTTACATTTCTCCAAACTTGATTTTTTCTAAAACAAACAATGCGAAAATTATCCTTTTAATTATTTTTGATGTTTTCTTCTTATTATTATTATCACTTTTATTATCTTGTTATACCTTTGTTGCAATATTTTAAGAACGTTTTTCTTGCTTACCACGTTCATTTGTGTTAAATTGCCGGTAGTTCGAACGGCTCCGACGTGTAATAGTACGAACAGATAATGAGAGAGATAAGCACAGTAGGTCAATTTGCTGAGCGGTATCCATCCACTCCAAGAAAGTAAATAATTGATGGGACCTTGAAATAATTATCACTTTTAAAGACTGCAGTTGACATAACTCGGTTTGATAATTATCTCGCGCACGCGTGCGATGATTACCTGCATATCCGTGCGTGCAGCAAAAGATGATCCAGGAGACCGAAAGTGTAAAAACCTGTCGATGAAAACCAGCGTAGAAACTCGCCTCTAATCTGTTATATACGTGAGTGTCGAAGTACATGTTCCGTGGCCCAAAAATCACCGAGAAACCGGCCATAATCGCGAGCAGCCAACCGAAAATCACGTACCACTGCGTATGAAGGCAATTTAGCGATTTTATAGCGGTTTATTTTTATGATTTCTTCAAATTCAAGATATTTTAATATGTATATTATTTCTCAAAATATTAATGTATAAAATATATAGATATAAATTGTAGAAACAATTTATATCTATATATTTTATACGTTAATTTTATACATTAACAGTTTATGAAGCTATTTGTAAAATATTTTGGCTTTAATCTGCTTTATATTGATTATTATGATACAAATATTAATTCTGTAATTAAATATTAAATAGATGACGATTAATGTTAAATATTACGTAAATCAAGTATGAGAGTAAACATAATTGTGTGAAATATATTATAATTATTGTGTGAATAATACTTACAATGCGTAATTTGACTTTGCAAGATCGCGTCTTATACAACAAGTATCCTAAGCCTAATCCAATGACGTAAGACCCAAATCTATTGTATGTCTTTGTATAGATCTCCAGATAAACTTGAGCTAAATCCGTCTGTCTACGAAACACAACATCCTGTTGAGATTATGAAATTACTAAAATCCGGCAATCAAAAAATTTTATGTAATTTCCATGCAATTTTCATAGAAATTAATATTACTTAAGTAGTAATCTTGCACGATCTTTCACAGTTATTTGATGTTTAATTGGTTTCTGGAAACTTGGATAATATAAGAGGACCCACAGAGTGGATGTATCAAAAGCTTACAATAATATTTAAATACTAAATATATAAAATATATTCAAAGTAAATACACAGTTAATTAAAATTAGATAATTGAAAGAGTTTCATATAAAACTAGATAAACGAAACTAGAAATAAAATAAGGCTATTATATTTGAACCTTTTAAAAAGAAAAACTGATTTTTTAAGATATTCAAATTACAATTTTTAATCGAATAATTTTTAAACAAAAGCGAAATTGAAATTCTACACTCACTCCTTATAATAGAGCATGGTGCCCGTTAGTTGAAGAACATAAGTTGTAACGAAAGGCACTAAGACCGAAAGAAATAAGCAGACGGCCAAAACAATGGCAAAGAACAGACTCCTAAACTTGAGCATAGGATACAGTATAAGCGGCGATAGCCAAACAAACTGCATGTCGGTCGATAGGTACCAGGATTGGGACATGCACTAGAAGCAAACATAAGAAAAGAGTGATATCTTCGCAAAAGTGCGCAAATCAGAAAGCAACGAAAAGTACAAAATAGCACTTAGTAGATAAACTTAGTAAATTCAAAGTAAAAAGAAAGAAACAAATAAAATAATAAAAATATTATGATAAAAGAATATACGCAGCATAGACTTTAAGATGTCATATCTACCGTTTCTACGTACAAAATAATGGTTAACTGCTGTTTAATACACGATCATATTTAGTAATAATAAATAATATGCAAAAAATATGCAAGGTAAATTAAATTCAATAGCTATTCTACCATATTTGGTACATTAACATAATTGTTAACATAGAGCAAGTTGGTCCACCAATTCTCACGACAAAAGTTTTTGTTAGAGCCGATCCAGATGTCCCACTGCGGGCCTGTACCAAATTTATAGAACAGAGTAGCATAAAAACCAATCATCATCGCGTAGGCCGGTGTTAATCTGATAAAAGAAGAAATTATTTCAATGAATCGAAGAGATAAAAAAATAAGAAAGAAGAAAAGATATAAATAAAATGTGGAATATATTGAAAATTTAAATTGCAAGAAAAGTCAATTCGATTGTGTACATACCTTATATAACGATGAACATAAAGTCCTATCATGTCGAAACGCCACTTTAAGGCGGCTCGTTTCTTCTTTGACAGTTCGGTGTAAGCGAGTAGCATCCCACTCAGAAGAAAGAAAGTATCCGTGACAATGTTGCCATTGAGCACAAGCATGTTGTTCCAATCGTAATGCATCTTTTTTGATAATAAAAATATTTTCACAATCAAAATGGTTAAGGTTGACAGAATTCGGAGAATTAAAAGAGAAATTAAAAACAACGTGACTTTTAACTATACTCATATATAATATATATAAGTATAATTCTCTGTTTCTATAATTTTAATATTGTTTCTAAATACATTTTCTAGTTTAATTCTTCAAATTGCGTGTCGAACACAGGCAAACACTATTCCAGTTTTAGTTTAAAATTGCTTTTTCAAGACCGGCTCTATTCAATGCACAGTTTGAAGAATTCGAAAAGCTATTTAAAAATTCACGAAGAAATATTTTTAGCACCAAGATCTAGTCTCAACCGTATTTAGCACTTCTTATTTGATTTATTCATATAGCAACCTACATAGTGTAATTATTAGATATTATTGTTAAAATTGTATTGCTCACATATGGAATCTGTGTGAGGTCCATTTTGACACTAATAGTCTCCATGTAATAAGTATGACCGTAAATGATCCAGCATATGCTGATGAAACGTAAGCCATCTAGACAGCGAATAGAATCCTCCCGTCTGTCCGTTTGCAACAGCTTTTTCCCATTCGTGTACAAAGAAAACGCCGTAAAAGTATCTACATGAGAAATCATTATTATCAAAATCATTATCACTAGTAATCTCCGGATAATATCGCCCTATTAAAGAAACACAATATTTATTATAGATTATATAGTTAACAATTCAGAATTAACTTTATTAATTACTAATTATTAATAATGTTTATTATTAATGATTAATATCATTTAGGTAATTTTTAAAATTAATTGCACCTTCTTTTATTTCTCAATAATCAATATAATTAATTTCGCAAAGCGTAGTAATCAACTTTATTAATTTAAATTTAACTTAACTTTGTATGAAATATAAAAATGTGTTTTTAAAAGAATAAATCTAAAGAATATATATAAATATTTCTGTATTTTTATATATCCTACTTTTCAATTTCGACGTGTTAGTCTGCCGTTGTATTACGATATCATATCCCGTGCTGGTAATAATGATCAATGCGAATAGTATAAGAATCGATCTAAAAAATTTTCAAAAATTAAGTGTATATTATTTCAGAAAAAAAAATGTTTATTTGATAATGAGAGAGCTTTATTTACGTGTAACACCAATCGGCAATGTCCCAAGTTGTTCGAACAGTTTCCACGGTGTGACACGATTCCTTAGAAACGTTGATAGTCATGTCTACACGCCCTACGACTTTCAATTTGTCGAGTGCGATTTCGAGATATTCCTGTATCTCCGTATGATTGCAGGTGGACGGAACACAAAACATCCACTCGTATACGACTGAATTGCCAGAACTCCATTTTGTCGCATTCTACCCCACAAGATATTTATATAGTATTAGTCTTCTAAACGTAAATTTACGTAAATGAATTGAATTTAAATAATTTAATTAATTTTTTATTAGCAAACAAGAGGCCATTCACTCATAATGCTTTGCCTAATTAATAAGCATATCTTTTAAAAAGTTCACAGATTTCTATTAATTGAAAACTGATTTTCTAGTTCTTGCCTACTTCTTGTGAGATTAAAGATGTTTACATGTATTTAAAAATTAGGAACGATATTTATTCTTATTTTTATTTAATTATTTTCTGTATTCTAATTGCCAGGCATATAATTTATATTATATGCCTGGCAATAAATGTAAACTGGACAGTTTATTCACATAAATTGTTGTATGTTGAACCACAGTAATTGCAATAATACGAACTCACCGATGCGATTGCAACATTTACGAGCAGATCCCCCAGGTCCAATTCGTGTCGTGGTGTACCGTCGTCCGCGGCGATCTCGAATTGTACTGCCACATTGCAAGCCTGTCCGACGAATCCGTGCTCGTTCTTTATTCGCAAGCATTCATCAAAATTACCCAGCTGTTTATGATTACCGGTGATCAAACCTGATGGTATTTTAACTGAAGCGTCGAACACTGGAACACCAAAGAATGAATCTTTGTTTAATCGATGTGCAAATTTCTTTTAGCTCCTGAATGAAAATTCGAGACGTTGCGATTTTCCTGCAGTAACGCATATTTTAATCTCTAGAATTTCTAGAGAATATTCGCGAAAAAAGCGCCACTTGTACGGTAATGTAAATACTTGAATAAAATGCTGTAAAAAATATACGGGATTTATTACGACGTCTAAATAAAGCTTCAGTGAGAAAGGGAGCATGCTCGTTTGCGGTATATCGCTTTGCGAAGCTTGCTATTATCAATGTGCTATCGGTGCAGCTTATTGTTGCGTTTTTCTGGACATTTACGGCATTCCGGCTTTGACATTTAACACGCCCTTTCTCCCGTTTCGTTTAAATAAGCACATTCTGAAACCGGTTGAAACAGACGCAGGTGTAGTCAATGCGTCAAGGCGTTCTTCTGTCCTCAATCCACGATCAGCTAGCGTCATTTTTTCACATTATCCTTCGAATATCCGGAATCATTACCGCAGACCCAGAGAATAATGATTGCTGAAGACTGATATCTTAAACTCGGCAATAAGTAATCTTTAATCGTTTATCGAATGCTCTATCCTCAGCGTGCAACGTAAAGTCTTGCGATTTATTGCAATATATTATTGTATAAGGTCGAATAAATTTTTTCTTTGCTTAAGTTACACTTTAATGTTAACGGCCTATAAAATTAGCTTAGTTACGTTAAAAGTTACATAAATAAAGGACTAACTTATTGTTCAGTTCTAGTTACAAGTTAAATTAACTTAAGTTAAAGGAAAAATTAATTTTAAAAGACATAATTTAATTAACATAATTTAAATATAATAATTTTTATAATTACTGAAAGATTAAACATAAAAGTAATTACAATATAGAATATTCAATAAGTGTGTGTGTAATATTTTACTTGTAAATTAAGTTTATATAAAGAAGTATAGCTTTCTAGGAAAGAAATATACGTTTTTCTTTTAATATTATTTATAGCAATAAATTAGTCATAGTGTAAGTAGGATTTACACACAGATGATTTACATGTCATTGACACATCACCGCATACTACTACATCAGTATCTCATGCACGCATACACATAAATGTTCGTATAACAATAACATTTTAATTAGACGTCTAATTCATTTCTAAGAACTCCACGTTGTTTCTTCATGCAAACTACTAGTCTGTGGACTACTACTACTTCGTCAGTACGGATTGCATAGTTTTTATATGAAGGAAATGTTGTCATGACGCGAAAGCTCTATAGAGTCCCATATTGAACTAAGAAATGGTAAAGAAAATCTCAATTTCGAAATTTTTTATCGTTTTCAATATAAACTCCATCTCACAGACACTTATTAATGCGTATACTTTAATTCTGGCAAAAGATTTTCAAATCAGTAAGAGAGAAAAAAGTAATTGTTATACAAAAATTATGAGGTTTAGTCGGTAATACAGATGGCTGTAGGATCTCCTTATTAAGTTACAAGTTATTAAATTTTTAACTTTATTGCTCGATTCCTAACTTTTTAATTAGTTATCATCAAAATCTTTTATTTTGATAGATAAATAATTATTGCAGTTATTCTTCGCTCTTTCTTCCCACAATTAATATATAATTAATTTTAAGTTTAAGATTTATCGATTCTAATCTTCATTTTTATGGATGGTACTTGCTCATTTTTCTCTAATAACAAACGAAGCAAACAAGCTTGAGAAAAAATTTTGTATACGAAAAAAGAAATTGTGTATGAACGATTAAATCCTACGATGGAATATACTTGTCCGGAACAAGCAGTGCGTTGACCAAAGTCACGTTCAGTTCTAAGAAGATAGCAATAAACTATTCAACTACGTGAGAGAATCGCGCATTATTCTCTCTATATGATGTACATTATTAGTCTGTGTACATCGGCGAGTTTATACTCATTGAAATGAGATTTCAAGGTGATTCCTTGGAACTGTGATTGCACTGTGACGCAGAGCAACGTCAATGTCGCGAGTGCGTTAACTGCGGAAGTACTTACGCGATATGACTAATAGGTACGCAGAATCGGATACGGGAAATCACGCGTTGCAAAAATGAGCCAAAGGAAGTTGACCAAAGGAAAATCATATGTTGGACGATAGCACATTCAATTTTAAATATGCCCGAACGATAGCGATAGCGAGCATATTTATACAGATTGCACGATATCAGTGATAACTCGATGTATTCCCGGTTGATTTTAACGTAGAATTATAACAAGTCAAAAAATATTATCTTTTTTTAATACTCTTTAATTGCCAAGCTGATTTTTAATAATATAATTTATATTATTTCTTTACAACGTCTTAAAAAGCGTTATCTTAAATACTTACAATTAGTAAAATTATTTTTAGTCGGATAAATAAAACCTATAATAAATGAATGATGGAGATTTTACGCGTCATTAAGATATGGATGATATGGCAATCAAGGAGTGTTAATGTAATAATGCAAGTTATTTTATTTCTAAAACTTCGATATTAAATAGAGGAAATAGAGGAATCTTTAACGTATTTATGAGAATTTCTATCGTTGTCCTCGCGTACTCAACCGCTCCAACTCTTAACGTCATATAAACAATAGTTGAGGAATCGTTCGAGCTAATTGGATTGGCGATTAAGTGACGTACAAGCCAGGAAAAGATCGATCGATCGATCGATCAATCGATTGATTGAAGGCAGGTCTATGATACACAAGGACGGTCGTCAGCCTCGTGGATGCATCTTGCTGACCCAGTTTGGTCTCGCGTACGACGCATATACCAATTACATCGGTCTATATATTATTGTTTCTATGCGAATATACGCGCGGTAGATCGTTAATTGTTTTTTTCTTAACAGCATGTTGTTGCAAAGCTGGCAATACTTGCATGACGATCGTCAAATTAATAAGATTATTAGTTCTTTCGACATCTTTCATTCGATTTTATTTTTGTGTTGAATTAACTAATGGAATATAAGAAAAAAGTAACATTTAATAATGCCATATTGTAGCAGCTAAGATTTAATAATTATTATAACATAATATAATTATTATAATTAAATTGTAGGCTTAATTCTTCATTGTATTAAGGATTATTATCTTTTACTGTACCTTATACACTCCAGGCCAAAAGTTTAGAAATATTTTTCAAAAATTGATTATCTAATAACAGTTATTATTATTTAATTATTATTTTTGTATATATATATCTTTTATATATTTTCTCTAAATAATTATTTATTATAAAATATTTATTAATTGTTAAATAATTTATTTTTCATCTCTTTGATTAAAAGAAATATCGGATGGAAAAAACGAGTAAGAAAAGATTTTATTAATTTAATATTAAAGCGATTATTTTATGAAACAATGAATAATTGTAATTATTAGCTGATGTTCTATTCTTACCTTCTTTGTTATATTAAATATAATATGTTTGAATAAAAATGTATTTGCATGTACAATGCTGGTGGAATATAAAAAGAAACGTAATGATCGCGCACCGGATGCTCTCAATAGAGAAATCCATTTGACGCTGGTATTAAAATGGGAAAAAATGCACCGGGTGGCGTTCATGGATATTTATTGAATGTTGCGTTTGCGCATTGACGTAAGAACGAATAACGACGTGTCAACTAATCATCGCGACGAGATAAAAGCTGTCATAATACAAAACGGCAATGATCTATGCAGCGATGATCCATAACAGCGAGATCCATATGCGCCGTCGAGGACGCGTGGGTTAAATATCTTATAACGGCCGATGGTGTCACCGATCGACATCATATTAATATCAATGAGATCAATGTCACTCGTTAATCTGTGCTAGTCCAAGTGTCATGGAGACGATAATTTGTTCGCAAAAATGGATACAAGGTTCTTTCGATCGAACGTAAATTTGACTTTGATATCGTTTCTCTTTCGAAAACACGCGCGCAATCTGAACTAATTTGTTCGGACTAATCAATCGCGAAATCATATCAATATCGAAATCATACGACTAATGTATCATTTCAATTTTCGAAATTATTCATCTTTGAATTTTTGAAAAGATAAAAAGATGTTAAAATTTTGCGACGTTTTTCGCTTTTGCAACTCGTCCTTGTCGAGTACGTTGAACTCGTTGTATAGTTTGAAAAAAAAGTAATGTTTATCACATCGATCGATCTTTCTGATCCATCTACCATTATCTATGAGGCAGAGCGAAGAGATTGATATCAGATAATTGACGCGCGATGTGCATTCCACGTGTGCTTGTCGCGATATCATATACGTAATATTACATGTCCGATAACCTCCCTCGATAATTGTGTGCAGCGTGCAATGTCCGATAATTGCTGAATGTTTAAACGTAAAAACGTAATCGTTTCGTGATCTCATGCGACGCATAACAGACAAAACAGTATGTAAAAATTATATAATGTTTTCCTCCTTGCTTTTTTTCCCCACAGAATCCAAATTATTCTCGTTGCATAAGAGATAAAGAAATCGGAATGACTACAAATTACAATATGCGTACAGCCATTTTAGTTTTACATCTGAGCATGATGATTGTTTAATTGTACAACTTTTCACTGCAGCTTTTTGGAAAGTTAAATATAATTTAATATTATGTTAATCAAATACTATTTAAAGATCTAAAAATGCATTTTTTCCGACTCATTTATTAAACACAAGTTGTTGAGATTCAACAACTTCCACCAAATTTAATTATCTTCGATTTATTTTTTTCTATTTTTCTAAAGAAAGTTTTTAGAAAGACAATAGTTAAAATTTATTTATTGTAATTTATTCGCTTACTAATAACAATAGCAAAATAATTATTATTTCTAAGACAAAATATAGCCAAAAAGTCTTTTGCAAAAGAAGATGGTCTATTAATTAAATTTTAATTTGTATTGATTGAATTTTAGATACCTTTACATTTTAATTATGAGAGACGATGAAGTCTAAAGAATATCTCTCTCTCTCTCTCTCTCTCTCTCTCTTCGATCTTTCTATTTATTTTACTTACTTTGAAGCGCCCAGGGTGTGTATGTCTCAAGTGCCTTCAAATAAATTTTGCTATCGCGGATGCACTCGGAAGAAGCAAATTCTCCAGGTACAAAGGGCTTCGTAAGGATATCTGCGAGAACAACTTCGGGCCTCAATCTTTCACCAACTCCCGTCGCTACTAGCAGGATTAAGAGACTCACGCACACTCTCCATTTGGACCATGTGGACTTCATTCTTCTTGAATTTTTTCCTTTTGGATATTAATTAAAAATTTCGTGTCACTAAGTACATGCGAACAGGAATATCCGTCGCGTTAAAGTAAACGAAAGAAATACACAAAACACGAAACGCTAATTGACTTTGGTGTACACGGTTGCATTCTGTTGCATGCATAATGCACAAGAGGTACCATTTTGTCCTTGTTTGCAGAGTGTTAAACAAGGATAAAGCAATACATAATGCCCATTATAGATATGGCCAACGTAAGGCCGGTCGCATACGTTCAAGTAAACTTATCAAGTGTGCTTACGCAAGCTACTTGTGCAAGTTTACTTGAACGTGGCCGGCCTAATGCTACAAATGTTGTTTGTGCTTTGAAGTCTTCTTTAATTATCCAATTTTTTAAATTCTTTCTTCTGATTGATCAATCAAATGCAACAAGATATCTGTAGTGAGACTTTGGCTGCATTTTATGCGTGCAACGGCACGTAGCTCACGTTTTCATCTTTATAGTGTGTTCGGTTGGTATTACATTTGTCAAAGCACTTTAAGTTTCTTGATTGGGTGCAAGAAAAAGAAGCTGTCGGATCTCTCTATAGCCAATCAATAAAGTTGAAATCTTTGTCATATGATAAATGTAATAGTACCCTTCCACTGGAAAAACTGGTGCAGCACTAGCGCAGTGCTTCGATGACTATATGACTATATAGTGCAGTTTTCATCGAAGCATAGTGCAATAATATAGTAATGCAGAGGATAAATTATGGGTGTCTTTTCAATTACTTTTTAACACATCTTAACGTAAATTAATTCACATTCATATTTTTAGTGTTAATAAATAATTTAACCCTTTTAATTATATATTTTTTGTTGTCACGATAACCTCATAATCTTATTTGTTAAAAGAATTGAATTATTTATTAATACTGAAAATGTAATTAATTTGCTACGTTTGTATTAAAATATGTTATGCTTATTCTATCGTAACTGTAATAAGCGTAGTTGTAAATGTTGCAGTTATAAGAATCGACCAATCAAATCGAATATGAGGAGAATATTTGACTGTGATTGATTCTTACAATTACAACCACTTACAACTGCACTTACGGCTATTATAGAACAGGCATTAAGCAACTGAAGAGAATTCCTGCATTTTGTCCAAAATTTTTTTAGTTAGAGATGGCATAGTATTCAGCGTTGAAAGACTCATATTATAAATTATAAGCTACTCTGAGATGTTCAGAAAGCATTTTTTCATTATTAATTTATATGCTGAAAAAACATAGACATTTCGAAGTGCATTGTTTTTTAACTAGAGACGAACAAAATGCATTTGTTTAACATTTTTAGCAATTGTTTAGTAATTTTGTTTAATATTTCACATCCTACTGATTGACATATTGTTATTTTCTGTAAAGTACATAATTTTCTTGTGTGCGGAGTTTTTTTCTTTCTCGTTTTCTGAAAATTACAAATTTTGGACAAAACGCATTTTGAAAGTCTGCTCCTCAATTGGAAAGCACCTCATGTAACTTTTTCCCTAGAACGGAAATGCGAAAAGTGAACATTTTTTTCCACGTGTATGTATATACATACATATATATGTATATAAAAATTTCCACTTTTCACGTTTCCATTGTAGAGAAGAAGTTATCAGATTTATATCCATACATTTCAAAACTTGATTCTCAACTCTATCAACTTCGAGTTTCCTTTATCCTTTATCCTTATTGAATATTCGGTGAGCAACAAAAATAAAATGATAGTCGGGTTGACAGAGTTGAGTTTTAGAGTGTATCCCAGGGCTGCTTTTCAATTGTTTAAGGAGTTAATTATCCATTTCTTTTACAAAGTAAAATATGATTAAATAATTTTTTTATGCATATATTTATATATATATCCTAACATATCTTAACACAAACGTATACAGGTACGCACAAAGTGTAGCATTGTGTATGATTCATTGTGTACAATTTCGGTCTCGATTTCGGTTCGTTTTGGATAGAGTTAGATTAAGTGTACCGTCTATATTGAATGAAAAAAAAAAGCAAAAGTACCGGCCACTCAACGTCCTCCAAACTCATTTATAGCCTCCGCGGTTAGTAACATGTAATTGTCACTAAAAAAACACACAAGCTTACACAGCTGACTACTAGCCTTCGGGCTGAGTACGGATGTGTAACGTTGTGTCGACGATTACGGCAATTGGAACGCAACTTGCCGTATGCACAAAAGTGTCTAGTGATTTTACAATTGGAAAGCACCCCAGGTTTAGTATGGCTCAGTGAAACACATTACTTATATTCTCTGTTAATGTTGTCCATTTTGGATGCGTTCCACTTAACGTTCGCAACACTCGCGAGCATCATTTCAGCCTTATTGTTTTCAAATATTAAACAAGAATGAAACGATGCTCGCGAGCATTGCGAACGTTAAGTGGAACGTACCTTTTATAACTTGAACTAATAATAAAAACATTATAACTACACAAGAGTTTAAATTGTTTATTTTATAATAATATTCTGCTTTATTTATTTAGTTTTTAAAAATTTCAAGATTTTTAAACGTTAAATATCATTGCGTACCTGCGGTACTAATAATGAGAAAACGTCAAAAATAATTAAAAGGATAATTTTCGCATGTTTGTTTTGGAAAAAATAAAGTTTCGAGAAGTTTATTATAAAAGAATTGCTCATATATAATTGTATATAAAATCATACATACATAAGCGTATGTACATATACATATAATCAATTTTTTTTTTACATTCTTCAAATCTCCAAATTTTATTTTTTCTAAAACAAACAATGCGAAAATTATCCCTTTAATTATTTTTGAGATTTTCTCACATTATTATTTTTATATTAAAAAGTGATTTTACAAATGAAAGAAAGATGTAATATGAACATGTATGGACATATTCCATATCTAATTATATATATTTATGAATATTTATGCATGTTCATACATATTTATATATATTTATGTATGAAAAAGTTTTTACCGGGATAGCTATTATTAGAAACTAAGACCAATATCATTATTATGAAATTAATTAGAATAATGTAATACCATTATATCTCAAAAGCACAAACACAACTTTGATTTCAACTTGCACTGATCTTCCACCGTCTCTAAAGACAGTGGAGAAAAAGTTGAACTCATTGTCAGTACAACTATTTTGCACCAGTTTTGTCAGTGGAATATTAAACACTAAAAATATGTAAACCGATGGAACAATACAATTGCACTGAGTGTGCGCCAGTATTGCACTAGCTTTTCGAACTGTGGAAACCGGTGTTTTCTATTTCCACGGGAAAAATAAGTATAAGTATATACTCCTAATCGCACATTCGAGTCGAAGAAGGTCACATGCTGTCGACATGTAATTATCTCTAATAACTCGACGAATTAATGACACACAATTCCCATACCTTTATCTCCAATCTATTAAGAAAATTGTCTCGCACGTTATCGCGCGCTATTTCTAGCTTTCAGTAATTTCTTGCGATTGCGATGGTGTGTGTTTAACACGAGGAGGGAAAGACGGAACTGAAAATGGCGGATTCGCCGGGCTTGCTCGCGGGTCGCGTGGCCGGAGTTGGAAAGGGGCGCGCGTCTCGCGTTTGTGTTTTCGCGCGCGTCCTCGCACGTATATAAACAGGAGTATCCGCCGCTCGTTAAAATAAACGAAAGAAACACATAAAACACAAAACGCCGGCTGACTGTAGTGTACACGTTCCATCGGCGCGCTGGTTCACTTATATATCGGAGGAACGGATGGGGGTAAGGGAGGCATTCCGTGCTTCTCTGGCCACTCGTGGCCATCTCGGGTCTCCTCTTATCGATATAAGCGAGGATTACGCGTCCGCGAAGAGAAACGTCGCCGCTGCCGCCTCCACCGCCTCCACCGCCGTCGGAGAGTGGGAATAACACTCGGTTCGTCAGCGAATATGCTCAGGAATTCGATAATGCGAGCGAGACCAGAAGAATCTGCACAAATTTGCAGATAGACGACGATGAAATGCAACTGCCGAGAACGTCTACTAAAACATAGCATCCTCCATAATTGCAATCATATCCGATAAATTGACCGCTAGCAAATCTCAGCAAATTTAATAAATTCACGACAAAAAATTACAATTTTTTTTAACGAATTATTTAAAATTCTGTAAAATAAGATAAAGTATATAATAAGGCGATGAAAAACAAAATAAAGATTTTTATATCATATTTTAAATTTTGTTATGTATTGTACTTCCATTTCAATTGATATTTATATTTCCATCAATTATTATACAAAAGTGATGTGAATTGTTATATATCTCCTCTTATTCGAATATCTTAACAATTCGAACGGAATTTTATTGTAGGCAAACAGTTATTTTCGATATCTATCTAGGAAATGGAAAGAGACCAATCTATTTTCTTAGTTTCTAAGGCCCAGTTCCACAATTTACGGTTAACTCTTAACCGAGGTTCAATTTATTCATTGTCTCGTTCCAATTTTCAAATTGGAAAGAGATGAGAAACAAGTTAAACCTCGGTTAAGAGTTAACCGTGAGTTGTGGAACTGGGCCTAAGTAATAGTATATCTAATAAAGATCACAACTCTCCGATATCAAATATTAATATTTGATTTTATAAATTAAAAAGTAAAATAATTACGGACTATCAGGTAATGAGAGTCAGGGCGATTAACAAAACGCAAATTTTAATGTCAATAAAAATGTTAAAACATTATAAAAAGAACCTTAAGTCAGCTTTATTCCATACTTGAACGTTTCGATTCGATTTGGAGTCCTTTTCAGCAATGCAAAGAAATTCTTATCGTAGATACACTAAACATCCATCAAAGTAACGTCACTCTCTCAGAATGTCAATTTTGAAGTGAAATCTTAATGGACAAACGATAAGAACACACTTATTGTTAGGCCCATTTTCAATATATGGTTACCATCAGATTCATCAATGAAATTCATTCATGAATTTCTTGGTTACCTGTTACCTTTAA